TCAATGATCAAGCAGGAGAAACCACAAATGACATTAAAAACATGTTCACAGACATGACACAAAGTTTTCCTGGCAGAGAAAAAGAATTTGACATTACAAATAACTGAGGCATATTGACCTTCAATTAGCAATTATCAAAAAAAAAAAAAATCCACATCCAGGCATATCTTAGTCAAGATTCCAGAAATTCAACACAAGAATGGAATCTGAAAAGCTCTTAGGGAAAAGAAACAAATCTCCTATAAAGGAAAGCCCATCAGTTTCACAGCTGACTTCTCAACACAAACTCTCAAGTCAAGGAGAGCTTGCAGTGAAGTATTACAGTTCTCCTTGCTCTAAAGGAAAACAACTTTCAACCCAGAATGATGTATCCCACAAAACTATCTTTCAAAATTAATAGAGAAATAATACATTTCCATGACAAAGAACATCTGAGAGGGGCTGGGAGTTTAGCTCAGCAGCATTAAGTGCCTGCGTGGCAAACGTGAGGTCGAGAGTTCGATCCCCAGCACCAAAAAAAAAAAAAAGAGAACCACCTGAGGAAATGTATGACCCCCAAACCAGCACTCCAAAATGTTCCGAAGGACATTCTAGAAAGAGATAATAAGGACTAAAGCTCCATGAATCCCAAGAGAAGGAATCCACCAGAGAAGGCAAACAATTAGAGGGAAGGAAAAAAAGGGGGGAGCCAATAATAGGAAAATAACATGATAAGGATAAGTTACTACATATCAGTTATAACCATCAATGTTAACCATCAATCTTAACGGTCTCAATTCATTCAAAAGATGCAGACTGGCAGACTGGATCAGGACACAAGTCCAACAATATGCTGCACAGAAGAAACACATTTAATTCAAATGGAAATTCACAGACTCAAAGTCAAAAGGATGGAAAGCTATACTCCATGCAACAAGAATTCAGAAAAAAGCAGGGGTAGCTACTGTATTTGCAGATAAAACGAATTTCAAGCTGACTGATTAAGAGAGATGAAGAAGGTTAATACAGACTGATAAAAGGAACAATCCAAGAGGAAGAGAGAACAATCATAGATATATATGCAACAAACACAAAATATTAGAACTAAATCAAACTTTTGGACATAGTAGATGTCTATAGTTTTCCACACCACAACATCAGAATACAGTCTTCTCAGCTGCACAAAAGGGGCATTCTTCAAAACAGACCATACACTGGCTCATAGAACATGCTTAAATAAATGCAAGGGAATTTAAACTATCCCATGCATACTATCAGACCACAGTGCAATGAAATTGGAAATCTATGCCAAAGGAAAACAAAAGAATTTCATAAACACATGGAAATGAAACAGCACCCTACTGAGCAACCAATGAGTCACAGATGAAATTAGACAGTTTTTATAGTTGAATGGTAATGACAGTGTAACATACCAGAACCTGTGGAACACAATGAAAGCAGTCTTTAGAGAGAAATTTATAGCAACAGCTACCCATATCAGGAAAACAGAGAAAGCGCATATAAACAACTTAATATTCAACTTCAAACTTCTAGAAAAAGAAGAACAGGCTAAATCAAAAGCTTGTACAAGAGGGGAAATTATAAAGATTCAAGCAAAATGGGTTAGGGAATTAGCTCAGCAACACAAGTGCCTGACTAGCAAGGGCAAAGTCCTAAGTTTGATTCCTCAGTGTGTGTATGGGGGGGGGGGGAATGATTCCTGTAGAAATTAACACACTGGAGACTCAAAAAACAATACAAAGAATCAATGAATCGAAGAGGTGATTCTTTGAAATTAAATAAAGTTGACAAACCCTTACCTAACCTTATCAAAAAAAGGGAAAGACTCAAATCCATGCATGAAATGAAATGGATTCATATGAATGAAAAGGGCAAAATCACAACAAACCCTGCAGAAATTCAGAAAATCATCTACACCTACACTTTGAAAACTTGTATTCTAATAAGATGGAAAATACAGAATGGACAGATTCCTAGATACATATGAATTACCAAAGCTGAATCAAAAAGATACAAAAATCCTAATAAACTGAATGTCAATAAATGAAATTGAAGATGTAATTAAAAACTTATCAACAAGGAAAACCTCAGGCCCAGATGGATTCACTGCTGCATTCTACAAGAAATTTAGAGAAGACCTAACACCACTACTTCTCAAATTGTTTAACAAAATTGAACAGGAAGCAATACTTCCAAATTCATTCCTAGAAGCAAGCATTACCCGAATACTAAAACTAGAGAAGGACACAACCAAGAGAGAGAATTACAGGCCAACCTCCCTAATGAACGCTGATGCAAAGATCCTAAATAAGATACTGGCAAACAGGGCTGGGGATTTAGCTCAGCAGCATAAGCGCCTGCCTTGCAAGCAGGCAGTCTTGAGTTCGATCCCTGTTACCGATAAAAATGAAAAAGACAAAAAAAAAAAAAATAATAATAATAATAATAAGATACTGGCAAACAGACTGCAGCAAATTGTCAAGAAAACTGTACACCATGATTAAGTAGGATTCATTCCAAGAATGCTGGTGTGGTTCAAAATATATAAATTCATAAATGTAATACACCATATCAACAGAGCCAAGGACAAAAATCATATGATCATTTCAACAGATATAAAAAAAGTTTTTGACAAAGTCCAGCATTCATTCATGATAAAAACCCTACAAAAAACTGCAACAGATGGTCTTTATCTCAATCTAATAAAAGCCTTCCATGACAAATGAACAGTTAACATCATACTAAATGTAAAAACTGAAAGCTTTCACTCTAAAATCAAAAACAAGACAAGAATGTCCAGTCTCCACTCTGATTCAAGATAGTCCTGGAAACTTTAACCAGAGCAAGTAGATTAAGAAAAAGGAATAAAGATAGGACAAGAAGAACTTAAAACTATCATTATTTGCAGAAGACATGATATTCTACATAAAAGACCCCAAAAACTCCACTAAAAGACTGGTAGATTTAATAAGCAACTTCAGTAGCATAGCTGGATACTAAGTCAGTACTCAAAAATCAACAGCCTTCCTGTACATAGTTAACAAACTCACTGAGAGAGAACTCATGGAAACAACATCTTTCACAATAGCACCCAAAAAGATGAGAAATATCTTAAGAATCAATTTAATGAAGGATGTAAAAGATCTCTATATTGAAAACTGCAGTACTCTGAAAAAGCAGACTGAAGTGAATATCAGAAAATAGAGATATCTCATGCTCTTCAGTAGCAAGAACCAATACAGCAAAAATGGTCATACTTTTTTTTTTTTTTGGTACGGGCATCGAACTCACGACCACGTGCTTGCAAGGCAGGTGCTTTTGCCGCTGAGCTAACTCCCCAGCCTATGGTCATATTTCTAAAACTGTTATACAGATTCAATGCAATCTCAATCAAAATTCCAGTAACTTATCTCACAGAATTAGAAAAAACAATTTTAAAATTTATCTGGAACCAGAAGAGACCTAGAAAAGCAAAGGCAATTCTGGGCAACAAAAGCAAGACAGGGAGTATTACAATCTCTGACTTGAACTCATACTACAAAGCTACAGTGATAAAAACAGTGTGGTACTGTCAAAACAAAACAGACCCAAAGATCAGTGGAATAGATTAGAAGATGCAAAAACAATTCGGATACACAAAGTCACCCTGTCTTTGACAAAGGTGCCAAACACATTCACTGGAAGAAAGACAGCCTCTTTGATAAATGGTGCTGGAAAAACTGGCTCTGTACATGCCAAAGACCCATATCTTTCACTATGTGCTAAGCTAAAATCAGAATGGATCAAACAAGTTAATATTAAAACAGAAACAATAAATCTGTTGGAAGATAGAGTAGGTAAAATTCTTGAAGACACTGGTGTAGGTAAAGACTTTATGAACAAAACCCTGACTGCACAGGAACTATCACAAAAAATCAACAACTGGGATCTTGCCCTACTACAAAGCTTTTGCACAGCAAGGGAAACCACCAACAGAGTGAGGACACAACTCACAACATGGGAGAAAATGTTTGCCAGCTGTTCCTCAAACAAAAGATTACTACTGAGAACATATAAAGAACTCAAATCAATCCTCTGGATTTAATAACCCAATCCAAAAATGAAAATCTGAGATGAATACACACTTCTCAGATGAAGAAATACATCTATTTGCTAGTAAATATATGAAAAAAATGTTCAATATCACTGGTTATTCAAGAGATACAAATTAAAACAACATTTGAGATTCCACCTCACCCCAGAATGACTACTAGCAAGAAATCAAGCAACAACAAGTGCTGGAGGGGCTATGGGGAAAAAGGAACCCTTCTCCACTGTTGGTGGGAATGCAGACTGGTAACCACTGCGAAAATATGTGTGGAGACTCCTCAAAAACTAGGACTGGAGGTCCCATTCAACCCCGCTATTCCTCGGTGTCTTCCCAAAAGAATTAAAAACATCATACCACAGCAATATATGTGCACCCATGTTTATAGCAGCACAGTTTGTAATAGCTAGATCTTGGAAACAACCTACATACCCATTGACTGAGGAATGGATAAAAAAGATGTGGTATTTTTATACAATGAAGTACTATGTGGCTATAAAGAAGGATAAACTGGAGACAAATGGATGCGACTTGAGATCATACTCATTAGTGAAATAAATAAGACATGTGTAAACATCATATTGTTTCATTAGTGTGAGAAGCTGTAAGAAAAAACATGAATATGTATGTATGTATACATAAAATAGTTAAGATAGTTACACTACTGATTTCTCTAAGAGTTTGCTGAAGAGAAAGACTTGTACTAGTAGAGTTCAGACAACTGAATGCAGATGCCTTGTGCTCTGGGTGAATGATTTGGGAGTGACAATGCACAATGTATGTACTATTGCCGCCTCCTCAGTGACATGCTTTGACATTTTATTGTAATGTTTTTTTACCCTTGAAATAAAATGGAGTTGGAAAAAATTAATAAAAAATAAAAGCTATTAGAGAAAAGAAACAAATCACCTACCTATTAAGGAAAGACCATCAGAATCACAGCAGACTTCTCGACAAAAACCCTCAAGTTGACTTCCGGGAGAACATGGCGGACAGATTAACAGCAACTACCGGAGGCTCTCTGAAAGGCTCGGCTCAGAAGTCAGGAATGATGCGGACTAAGGAGACATGGGCCGGTAGAGATATGCTCTGCTGACTCAGGAACGAACTGGGCTGAGAGAAACCAACTTGGAATGCAGTCCTGGCGCTAAAATAGGAACAGAAAAGCCTCGGTGTGGAGGCTGGACCCCGCGCCATTGCAAACCGCGATTTGGGTTTCCTGCCGCGCGGTGGCTGGCTGCCTCCACAGTGGCTCGGCAAGGAGAGACGCGCAGAAGCTCTGGGAACGGCAGTCTGCGAACGGAGTCGAAAACAGGACGGACAGGACTAGGAGGCGTACACTGACTTGTGGCGAGGTGAGTGAGAGAAACTGACACTCTACCACAGTTTGACTCCAGCGGAGGACTTTCTGGGCTCGGGCAGTCCTGTAAGAGCAGGGCACGGTGGCGACTCCAGCCACACATTCCCCTCTCGGACGGGATTGGTGAAAAGTGCCTGGCCTGTGTGACGCTGCAGGTGGACTTGGTAGGCTGGCCTAACCCAGATCCCAGAGCCTGACGGTGGCCCGGAGGGGCGACTGACTTCTGCATAGGCTGCCTAGTCCGTAACTCCCTGGTGCGCAGCGGTGGGCGGAACACCTAGCCAGCACAATTTGATCAGGCTGTGGCTGACAGGCAGGGAAGCTGGGCCTCCTATGTAAACTTGCATATATATAAGAAACAGAGAATATGGGGACGGGAAGCAATAAGAAACGGCCCCCAATTCTGAGACACAGGCAATAGCGGACACCGCACCAATAGACATTAAGCGCCATATAGAGAGCCTCATAGACCAATTCAGGAATGAAGTTATCAACGACCTGAAGCTAGAAGTATACAGAATAGTTAGAGAAATGCTAAGCACCACCCAAGAAAAAACAGATGGTGGAATGGAAGAACAGAAAAAGAGGGGAGAATTGTTTGATGGAGAAAACAGAAAAAGCATAGAGTACGTGAAGCAGGTTCAAAGGGACTATCAAGAAATTAAGAAGTCTATCCAAGACTGGCATAACAGCTTGAAAGAAACTAAGGACAGACTATCTGAACTGGAGGGCAGACTCGTAATATGGGAGAATGAAATGAAAAACTTCTTAAAAATAACAAAGAAACAAACAGCAATAATACAAAGACAAGAAGATGATAAGAGGATCCATAACTTAAGGATTAAGAACATAAAAGAAGAAGTAGGGACACAAACAAGTGAACTACAAAAGCTACTCACAGAAATAATCCAGGAGAATTTTCCTAATTTAGCAAAAGGTAAAGATACTCAGATGTATGAGGCATACAGGACCCCAGCTACCTACAACCCAAACAGAGCAACACCCAGGCATATAATATTAAAAATTCCAGAAATTCAATACAAGAACAGAATATTAAAAGCTGTCAGAGACAAGAAACAGACCACTTACAAGGGAACACCCATCAGAATTACAGCAGATTTCTCTGCACAAACCATCAAATCATGAAGAGCGTGGGGGGAAATAATTCAAGCTTTGAAAGATAATAATCTCCAGCCAAGATTGAGATATCCTGCACAACTGTCCCTGGAAATTGATGGAAAAACAAGGTGCTTCCAGGATAAAGAGGAACTGGGGGAATTTGCAACCACCAATTCAACTCTACAGAGAGTATTGCAGGATATTCTAAAAAAGAAAAATACAAAGAATCCAGAAATAATGGCAGAGAGGCCACAACGAATGGAGCAGAGAACAAAATGAAGAAGACAAACTGACAGCTACTGACAGAAAAAGAGCTCAACAGAAATGAGACAGAGAAGATTGGATGATAGGAACAGCTATTTTGGAGAAAATGACATCTTAATAGGTAATACTGATTTAGTATCAACTTGTTTTGAAGTCTCATCTAGCTTTTGTCCTTCTGTCTCCAATGGTCTAAATAGGCTGTATCTTATTGGATTTTATTAAGTACGATAGTATAAGCAAAAACCTTTTAAAGACAAGGAGATTATACAGAAACCATTGTTCATTTTCTGTTAGTCGATTCTAAATACTCTGTAATGCTGTCATTCTCTTGAATGGTTTTACATTGTTTTGATATACTTAATGCTACAGTATACAAAGTTGTACTCAAGGATTTCAAAGAAAGAGACAATATGGTAACTACTTTTAGGTTAGGATTATCTGGTGGTGAAAAACTATTCTGCTTAAATGGTTATGTTTTGATCTGCGCTGTTTCGTTGTTATGCCCTCTTTAATCTCAATCTCTACTCCATTATTTACTTTTTTATCTTTATCCTTTTAATTAAAGGAAAAAAAATAGCAGGATATAATATAGTAACCCACTTTGACTTTTCATTACCTTGATTTAAAGCCCTGTATTACTCTTACCATCTGGTTTTTAACTGATGTTCCCCTATTCTGTTTTGCTGGATAGTATCAGGTTCGAAAGTTTAGGCATCAGCTGTGAAGACAATGAGATTCATTATGACGCCCATTCTTGTTGACTTTTATCTACTTTTGAAGACCTACAATGTCTCCAATGTTTTGGTTTTGTCGGTTTTATTCTTTACTGTTTTGTTCAATTGTATTATAACTAACGATATAGGCAATTCTATTAGAGATAGTGGGAGGCATTATGGTAACCATTGTTGATCACCTTGTATTATGTTTTTACATTATCTATTATGTCCACCCTTTTGACTTGACCGATTCTGTTCTGTTATGTCACATTTGGTTTTACTCTCTTCCAAAAAAGTAATAAGAACCGTGGGAGCAATGAAACCCAAAATGTGTAATAGTCATGGTACAAAAGAGAGGAAAAGAAAGTGCTCCAAACTATATAACTGCATGTATATTTAAGTGTATAAGATAGAAAATGATATCACAGAGTTTTATTGGATCAATGAACAGAACTGTTTGCAGTATCATTGATGGAATGTCCACTTTACAAGCTTTAATTTTGTGACTTGAACAATTATTTCTAAGATGACAATATGTAATCCATTAACTAGTGATTTCCTACTGTTCATTTTTTCTTCTGTAAATCTGTATAACTTGTACCCTTTCCCTGCTTTTTTTTTTCTTTTCTCCTTAAATAAAATTTTTAAAAAAAGAGGAAAAAAAAGAGAAAAAAAAAAGAAGAAGAAGTAGGGACACAAACAAGTGAACTACAAAAGCTACTCACAGAAATAATCCAGGAGAATTTTCCTAACTTAGCAAAAGGTAAAGATACTCAGATGTATGAGGCATACAGGACCCCAGCCACCTACAACCCAAACAGAGCAACACCCAGGCATATAATAATAAAAATTCCAGAAATTCAATACAAGAACAGAATATTAAAAGCTGTAAGAGACAGGAAACAGACCACTTACAAGGGAACACCCATCAGAATTACAGCAGATTTCTCAGCACAGACCATCAAATCACGAAGAACGTGGGGGGAAATAATTCAAGCTTTGAAAGATAATAATCTCCAGCCAAGATTGAGATATCCTGCACAACTGTGCCTGGAAATTGATGGAAAAACAAGGTGCTTCCAGGATAAAGAGGAACTGGGGGAATTTGCAACCACCAATTCAACCCTACAGAAAGTATTGCAGGATATTCTAAAAAAAGAAAAATACAAAGAACCCAGAAATAGTGGCGGGGAGGCCACAACGAATGGAGCAGAGAACAAAATGAAGAAGACAAACTGACAGCTACTGACAGAAAAAGAGCTCAACAGAAATGAGACAGAGAAGATTGGATGATAGGAACAGCTATTTTGGAGAAAATGACATCTTAATAGGTAATACTGATTTAGTACCATCTTGTTTTGAAGTCTCATCTAGCTTTTGTTCTTCTGTCTCCAATGGTCTAAACAGGTTGTATCTTATTGGATTTTATTATGTATGATAGTATAAGCAAAAACCTTTTAAAGACAAGGAGATTATACAGAAACCATTGTTCATTTTCTGTGTCGATTCTAAATACTCTGTAATGCTGTCATTCTCTTAAATGGTTTTACATTGTTTTGATATACTTAATGCTACAGTATACGAAGTTGTACTCAAGGACTTCAAGGAAAGAGTCAATATGGTAACTACTTTTGGGTCGGAATTATCTGGTGGTGAAACACTATTCTGCTTAAATGGTTATGTTTTGATCTGCGCTGTTTCGCTGTTATGCCCTCTTTTTTCTCAATCTCCACTCCATTATTTACTTTTTTATTTTTCTCCGTTTAATTAAAGGGAAAAAAATAGTAGGATATAATATAGTAACCCACTTTGACTTTCTCTTATCTCGATTTGAAGCCCTGTATTACTCTCACCATCTTGTTTTTGACTGATGTTCCCCTATTCTGTTTTGCTGGATAGTATCAGGTTCGAAAGTTTAGGCATCAGCTGTGAAGATAATGAGATTCATTATAACGCCCATTCTCGTTGACTTTTATCTACTTTTGAAGACCTACAATGTCACTAATGTTTTGGTTTTATCGGTTTTGTTCTTTACTGTTTTGTTCAATTGTATTATAACTGATGATATAGGCAATTCTATTAGAGATAGCGGGAGGCATTATGGTAACCATTGTTGATCACCTTGTATTATGTTTTTATATTATCTATTATGTCCACCCTTTTGACTTGAGGGATTCTGTTCTGTTATGTCTCATTTGGTTTTACTCTCTTCCAAAAAAGTAATAAGAACCGTGGGAGCAATGAAACCCAAAATGTGTAATAGTCATTGTACAAAAAAGAGGAAAAGAAAGTGCTCTAAACTATATAACTATATAAACTGTATACTTAAGTGTATAAGATAGAAAATGATATCACAGAGTTTTATTGGATCATTGAACAGAACTGTTTGCAGTATCATTGTTGGAATGTCCACTTTACAAGCTTTAATTTTGTGACTTGAACAATTATTTCTAAGACGGCAATATGTAATCGATTAACTAATGATTTCCCACTGTTCATTTTTTTCTTTTGTCAATCTGTATAACTTGTACCCTTTCACTGTTTTTTTTCCTTTTCTCCTTAAATTAAAAAAAAAAACCTGAAGTTAAAAGAGAGATTGAAGTATTTCAAACCCTAGAAGAAAACTACCAGCCAGATTGATATAGCCTGAAAAACTAGCTATCAAAATTGTTAAGATAGTTCCAAGACAAAAAACACCTGAAAAAACTTGTGACCACCAAATCAGCACTCCACAATATTTTGAAGGACATTTTTAAAAGACAGAACAAGGAATACAACTCCATGAACCCCAAAAGAATAAATCTACCAGGGAAGGCAAGCAATTAAACAGAGGAGGAAAAAAAGAAAGAAAGAAAAGAAACCACAACAGGAGAATAACATGACAAAGATAAGTCAATACATATCAGTTATAATCAACATAAGTCATATCAATTTACCAATCCAAAGAAACAGGCTAGCAGAATGGATCAAGAAGCAAGATCCAACAATATACTGCATATAAGAAACATTTGATTTTAAAAGTCACAGAATAGAAAACAATACTCCATGTGACAGGGACCTGGAAGAAAGCAGGGATAGCTATTCTATTTGTAGAAAGTGAATTTCAAGCCAAGACTGATCAGACGAGACTACGAAGTTTACTACATATTTATCAAGGGAATAATCCCAGAGTATGGGATAGCAATCCATAAATATATATGCACCAAATACCAGCACATCCAACAACATAAAACAGACATTAATGGACATGAAAATCAAATATGTACTAATATAATTGTTATGTAGGACCTTAATACCCCAATGTCACAAATAGATCAACTAGACCAAAACCAAATAAACAAAACAAAAACAATGAAATATCAGATTTGAACCAAGTTTTGGAACAAATAATGTTCACTGT